TCTAATCACCACTAGTCATATATGCCCGTGTTTCCCAGTTGTGGCCATTTTTATTCAGACTTGCTAGTTGCTACCTTGTACCGCCTTTTGATAAAAACCAAACAAAACGTTTGTGTGCATCTCAAATGATATAGTGGTCAGGGGTATAACCACCTTTTCGAGGAAAAACATGTTGGTGCAATGTTTCTTTTATAAGGAGATCCCTTTGTCCTAATTTTTCTTGGCAATCAATTGCTTGGTTTCATTCTTTTGCACCAACTCGCTTGGAATGGAACGAATGGAACATGGGGGCATATGAACCCGTCTTTTAAGTTAGTAATTTTAAAAATGGTCAAAAAATAATGAAAACTGCTGGCAACAAATTTGATGAAATGTTACACTCATGTAAAAAATTTAGGGATGAAATGACTTCCGTTATATTGTACAGGACAAAGTCAAAATCAACACTATATTAGAGGTACTAGTCACTCTATATTGTCATGGACAATTTGTTTTTATGCTCAGATTCTTTATGGGGATTCTTTTGTTGTACGTTTTTTTATGAGTAGGCCGACATGTCAAGTTTGTTTGAAAAAGGTATCGAAGATTATTGACTTTTTTCCTGAATTGCTAAAAAAGATCCTAGAAAATAGTTTATGGGGTTCATCTAGAACTAGTTGTATCCTCATATTTTCTCAACTTGCTCCCACTTCTTTTCCACTTCCAATAATGGAAGGGGACCGGTCCGGTTGGGATACACAAGTGAGTAGTTAGTTCCAGTAGGTTTTTTTCTCACAGAAAACACAAAGCTTGCGTCTCACAGCAATGGCAGAAAAAAGAGAGAATATCATACGTAAATCAATATTCAATGAAAACTTCGTGAAAACCATATTTTAAAGTTTCAAAAAAAACTGAAAATATGGGATGTTAACAAGGTGATGTTTTATTGCTACACAAAATTTCAAGTTGAAAAACATTACGAGATGTGAGCTATGAAAAAGACAAATTCAGCCCTGAATAGTGACATTACTATTTGGCACTAGTCAACGCTGATTTTGTCTTTTTCATAGCTCACATCTTGTAATGTGTTTTAATTTGAAATTTTGTGTGGCAATAAAACATCATCCTCTTAACATCCCACATTTTTTTCAATTTTTTTTGAAACTTCAAAACATCTTTTTCTCATGGTTTTCACCGGTTTTAGTACAGAGAGGATCTGGTCAGAGTGTTCAAGCCAATTCCAGGATGTGTCTAGGTCTTGGTCGACTGAGACTTAACCAAGTCTCAGCCAAGTGATATGGTATATGAGAAGAAAAAGAAAAAACTGAAAAGAACTTTTTGTACAAATCTTAATGCAAGATCAATGAAATATAACATCGACTGAGACATAACGAAGTAGACGTCGACTGAGACTTAGCAAAACTGTTCCAATTAATGCATTCGGAGCGCCATATTCAGCAACTTTGTGGAATGCAACAGTTTGTATACAGTTGATGCGCGCGTTCGCTTAGGGCATCTCCCAATTGTGTTAAGTTATTTGGCCCCTACTGCCAGTCTGCCATCTCCTCTTTACTTGTGTATAATTGATTCTTTGTTGGTTTTCAATGAATAAATAAAGGAGTTGGAGAGTTTAAATCAATGACATATGACTTAGATGTGCAATACTTATGGCACATCTAAATGTGCTTTAGCAAAACTGTTTAAATAAAGAGAGA